ATTTTTTGTTAACTTTAAAAAATCATTATAAACAAATGAAAAAACTTTTATAAACTTTTACAACGGAATCTTGTTTATTATGTATATAAAAAGACCTCCCAGAAAGAAAAAAATTTGTAGATACATTATTTAAACTTTTACAAGTTTTATGAAAGATTAGGACCACGAAAAATTAGTTCATTAACAATTGAATAACTTTAACATAAGTCAAGTTAAAAATTATTTTCCAACTGGGCTGTGTTCCTTCAAGTGTCTAGATGACACTATAATTTATTTAGATTTTTAAATTAATATTGAATACTATAAAAAAATTATTTTGTGTTGCACACTTTGCTTGGCGGCGACGCGACGACGCGGAAACCGCCGCCGCCGCGCGGAGCCATATTTTCAACGTCAAATTAAAATTATAAATAATGGAGCTACAATTCCGGGAGTCGAGACTTATTTTACTGAAATTTTCTCCTCTTTCAGGATCTTTTTTGAAATTTCAGCTATCTTCAATATTTTTTTAGTTATAGCTAAAAAACGGAGACCCCCTTTTTTTCTCTTCGTTTTTTGTTTATAACAATTGCTATTTTTAATTGCGGATAAATTAAAAAACACTTCTTTCTCAGAATTTAATTCTGTATCCAATGTACTAACAACCATATTTTTAGGATTACATTAACTATTTTTCGCAGAAAACTCACATCTCGACTAAACTATTTGTAGTGAAAACGATATTAAGGCCTGAATTACCGCCCGGCTTTCTTTCACTTCACGGATTGTATGTACATTGTACATTATCATCATAGCCGATGTGATACCACTAGGCTTGTTTCTGCAGCAGTCGCACACACAAACATTCAGCAAATATGAGGTCACAGAATCAATTGGTCACATATTCCTGCTGCAGAAACAGACATATGAAACTTAACATTACAGAATACTTACTGATACTGATAAGGCTGGTGCATGGGCTGTGGTGGATAATGTGGGTACATAGGCGGCGGTTGGTAAGACGGCTGAGGTGGCCCGGAAGGGAACTGTTGGATATTTATTAAGACGTTTTGCTGGTGTAACCCGCTACCTCCCGACGGCTGCAACCTGGACACTTGCTGCGCCAAGGCTTGCATTGGAAGTCCCGTTAGGGAGTCCAGAGGATTTTGGGCCTGAGATGTTGACGGGTTGTACAATTGCTGCAAGAGATCGTATCGGATTAATAAAAAGTTTTAAATTTTGTAAATGGAATGGTAACATACCTAAATATCAAATTTCTAAAGATAACTTACCATTGCTCCCCTGTTTCTTTCCTCCAAACGATCCAGCGATATGAATTCGGTGTCGCTCGTGTGAAAACCTAGATCTTTAGCTCTTTCATTGTTGTTGAAAAGTGACATTATATTGTTGTCATCGTTGTCTGGTAATTTTAGTGGATCTTCCAGGGATGGTGTTGTCCACATATTACTGGAATTTTGATCTAAAACAATGTTTCATGTCATGTCCTTATAAGTTATTATTAAGTTGTAAACAGAATTGTATCAATAAAATATCCTAACACTGCTTGATGCTGGCATGAATAAATAAGTCCATTTTTGTCCACTAAGGATTGATGTGCGATCATAAAGTGGTATGATTTGTAAAGAAAGGAAATATTCCATATAAAAACGCCATATATTAGACTTTTTTTACTGTACTTTTTTAAGTATTAGACCAGCAGTATTCAAACTGTGTTCCGCGGAACCCTGGGGTTCCTCACAACCTATCTGGGGAGAAATCCGCAAAATTTTGGAATTAACAATATCGATACTACAAAATAAAAAAAAATATACTCTTAAATCTTTTTTTATTTTTATAAGTACACGCTTATAAGTTACTATAAGAGCTTAGCGACAAAAGCAAGGTATGGCAATGCGCTTAATGCAAAATTTGAAATTGAAATGTGATTGCAACATACGACAATAGCAAATGATTTCAACATATTATGTAAAATAATCAAGCACATTCTGGTCATTGATTATATTTACTCTTTTTTAATTATCCAATAAATATTTACTTTAAACTTAGTGGAATATTTATTTTATTAACCGTAGTATTTATAAATTTATTATATAATCAGTAAAAAAGGTGTTCGAAAATGTTCTTAGGTGTGGGAGTTCCCCAAAAAATTCGAAATGTTGGCCGGGTTCCGAAAGTCGTAAAAGTTTGAAGACCGCTGTATTAGAGAAACACAGTCGTAGAAGAGAATCTATCTAATTACACAGCCACATAAAAAAAGTCCAAACCCAAGAGTCACATATCATTTCTGAAGGAATTTAATGCGCGAATACGATCCTGTAATCAAAATTCATGACTTCACGACATATTACCCAAATATGGGTAAAAACTGATTTTTTACTAAATTTTGTCCAAATATATAATTTTTGTAGTATTTAGAGGCGCTGAACACGATGCCATTAGTGAAATTTACCCATGACCTCGATATTTCTCAGAAAATCCACTTTTTGAGTTTTAGTTTCGACTCATATTTGGGCCAGTGTTCACCTAAGTGTATTTTCTAAGAAATATCAGTGTCAAGTGTTAATTTTACTAATGGCATCGTGTTCAACGCCTCAAAGTACTGCGAAAATTATATAAATGGACACAATTTAGGAAAAAATTAGTTTTGACCCATATTTGGGCCAGTTTTCAGGGTAAATTTTACCAATGGCATCATATGTGGCTCTCTTGAGTTTGGACTTTTTTTTGCAGCTGTGTTATCGGCATTGCTTACAGTTTTAGAAAAACTTCTTCTGCCGCGGATAGAGAGCGGTCCGATCAACTCCGTCAGATCTAAGAATATGTACCACAAAAAGGCGCTTTGTTACTTAAACTGTTTTAATAGGAAAATAATTAATAATAATAAAAATGCATGTAATTGATCGGGGCCAAGGGCATCGATCAAAAGTCCAAATTTGTTTGCAAAAGTCAGTCTTTAATTTCTTTGGGAGCGCAGCTTATAAAACCAAGCTTTATCCAACTATAGTCTGTTTGGAAATGAAAGAGAGTAATAAAACCCCGAGATAAGAACCGGCCATGGGCGTGGTAATATTTCGTTTCAGGTAATTATCGGGTAACACTAATGCTAACAGGTAATGGGTGTACATTAGTATATTTTACTGGATACATCATAGGGCAGGAGCCAGTGTATTGTGACAGATCAATCCAGTCTTAGAGCTGAATATACGAAGACGTGCTAGTGCAGTAGAGTAAAATTCGACTTGTGTTTAGTGACTATTGTGCCAGTGGATATAATATTGTTTGGGTAAAATGTCGAGCTTATCAGATTACGTACCTGCTAAACGCGTGAAAAGATGTGCGCTGTCTCAGAATGAGAAGATTATTATATTAAATGTATTTAATGCATTGAAACACCAAAATCCTACCAACAGTGTTGACGACATCGTGGAAAAGTGTTCCAAAATGACAGGGATTGGAAAATCGACTATCTACAGACTTTTAAAGGAAACAAAAAATGAACAAGATACTGTAAATCCCCCAAAATCATCTACAGGGAGGTCAAAAGTCGTTATAGATGATTTCTTCAAAAATGTCATTCGCAGAAAAGTACACTCATTTTATTTTAAAAAAGAAATACCAACGCTAAACAAAATTTTAAGTGAACTTTCAGAGGACAACGATTTGCCAAAAATCAGTAGAAGCAAATTATGGGCCGTCTTACGAGAGTTGAATTTTTGCTGGGAAAAGCAGAACAGGAAGTCAGTTCTTATCGATAAAGATGAAATTATTTGTTGGCGAAGATCCTACTTAAGATCAATTAGAAAATTCCGTGACGAAGGGAGGAATATTTATTATCTAGACGAAACTTGGGTCAACGAGGGATATACTGTAACAAAAGTATGGCAAGATAAAAATGTAAAAAGTTTTCGACAAGCATTTTTGGATGGACTTTCAACAGGGTTCAAGGCACCTTCAGGTAAAGGGCGAAGATTAATAGTGACACATATAGGTAGTGCCAGTGGTTTTGTAGATGGCGGTTTACTTTTATTTGAATCTAAAAATACAGGTGACTATCACGAAGACATGAACGCAGATGTTTTCGAAGAGTATTTTACACAGATGTTGGATCTTATTCCTCCGGGGTCTGTAATTGTCATGGATAATGCCAGTTACCATTCACGGCAGACCGAGCGGACGCCTACGACTGCTTGGAGGAAAGCCGATATAATTCAATGGTTATCCGGAAAAAACATTTCTTTTGAAACAAATATGGTGAAAAAGGAACTTTTGACACTTGTCAATCTTAATAAAGATCAGAAAAAATATGTTATCGATGAAATGGCAACAAATCGCCAAATAACGGTACTACGGTTACCACCTTATCACTGTGAACTTAACCCAATCGAATTAGTCTGGGCGCAGGTAAAAGGAGATGTAGCGCGAAATAATACGACGTTTAAATTAAGTGACGTGAAAATTTTGTTAAAAAATTCCTTGGAACGAGTAACTGCAGATAACTGGCAAAGATGTATACATCATGTACAAAAAGAAGAGGAGAAAATGTGGGAACTCGATAATTTAATTGACGTTACTGTGGAACCTATCGTTATCAATCTAGGAGACGAAGATAATTCATCAGAATATTCAGAGGATGAATTTTAATATACCTACTTTTTTATTTTCTTTATTGTACATTTATACAACACTACATTTACTCACCATAATTTGAATTTTCAAAATACATATATTTTTGTGTGGAATAAAAGTCTATTCATTAAATTTAAATAAATATTTTGATAATAATATTGAATAATTTTATTTGAATTACTAAAAACCCTCTTAACCCGGTTATGATGCTTAAAGTAGCCTCATGTTTTGAAATGCTGTTTTTATATTGTTTACTTATAAGAGAAATGGACCGAGAAATTGAAGCGGCATAGACAAAGACGGATTGTCGGGGATTAAATTTTAGCTACCTGCTACAATTTAGTACAACCCGGTCACACAAAGTTTTTTTAAAAGTACACCTCATCTATACCGATAATACATAATATAAAAATATTGAATATAAGTACCAGTACTACATTTATTTACGATTTGCATTCTCTCTCATTCTCTCTCTTTCCTTTCTAAACAGATTATAATGCCCGGATTTCTATCTAAGGTCTGCCTTCTTGACCCATTGTGAAGGCTTTTACAGATTTTAGCATTAATAATAAATTGTTTAAGTTTAGATTAAATTATTGCAATTGCGATCGATCTGATCTGATAAATTCTGATTATTATTTATTTTTATACTTTTATAACCCTATTGTAACAGTCTAAGTAACAACTTGCCTTTCTTTGAGGCGCACTTTCTTAGATCTGACGATATCGATCTCGCTTATAGACGTATCCTTTTGTTCCGTATATCTAATCGCATAGATAATAGCAACATTTAAGGCGTTAATACTTTTAAAATGGTAAAATTTGCTTACATCCCTGTAGTCCGTATGCTCGCGATCAACTTATACTCCGCGGTCGAATTTATAAAGAGTGACTAAGACTAATATAAAAACACTATTACCATAATGCGTATAAAATATAAAATGATTTTTATACGGCTCAATATTATTTATCTTTGTGCCGCTCGCTACGCACATCGTTACACTGAACGTCGATCTATATTCTACCTCTGTCTTTTGCACTTGGTAGGGAATAGGGAAATGCTTTTTTAGTGGGTGTAAACGGACTTGATTTAACCCGTCCTGAGAAACGTCATAGCATAAGCGTAGACGAGGGGTCTAATTCCATGGCTATAATAAATTTATAAATTAAAAAAACACAACTGGGACGTTTTAAAATGCTGTAATAATTAAAATGGATCAAAGTGCCTGTTATAGCAAACCGTAAAAAATATTAGATGTTATGTTTTATTATCTTTTTTTATTATTTTCTATGTCTTGTTGCCTTTTACGCAGACACGCCAATGGATTTTGTTCCCGGCACGCTTCATCCCCCTTACTAGTCCAAAAGCTAGTGATGAATCACTCTATAATTTCGACCGTGGAGTATAGGCAAATAGGTCGCGAGCAGTTTCTTGCTGACATCTACAAAAACGAATTTTTGTGTGCTCACAGTTCGTGATCACCCAAGGTTTGTTTGCAAAATGTTTATGTTAATTTCGCGAGCAGCTCGTGTAACATTAGCATCGTTTATCTTTGTTCAGGTCGAGCATGTGAAATTTCCCGTCGGCTGTCGGTAACTCCAACTGACACGTGGATATATTCGTCGAATCTCAGTCAGGTGGGGATGGAGCAGCAGTTGAAAAAGTTGTTATTAATTGGAAAATGTCAGAAAAAGGAAGTTTTGTCCAAAATCGATATTTGTACATATTTATTCACTGATAAATGAGGAAAACTGGCCGAACTTTTTGGTAAACAACACTAGACGCAAGAAAAAGTTTTTTAGTCGTCAACGTGTAACTGCTCGCGACCTGTT